CGAGTAATTATATGATTGGTCATACCTCCCTTACGCGCTCGTTTCATGAGGAAAAGAAGGATCACCTGCGGGGGGGCCCACCCCATCGCGTCCTTTTTCTCCCTGAAGAAATGGAAACGAATCAGCGCGCGAAGAGTCCTCCTCGAACGATTCTGCCCTTCTTTAAACCTTCCCCGCAGCCAGGCAGGGACGACGCGAGTGGAATTTCCACCAAAGCCGCGATGGCGGCTGCCGCCGAGGTGAATTTCATCCGCGAAATTGCCGGTGAAGAGGCCGCGGCGTGGTATCAGGCCGGGGTGCACAAAACCATCGGCCGAGGCCGTATTTTACGGCCAGAATTATGGTCGGAATGGGCCTTTCGGGATACTTTTTACGGGCGTCATATCACCCCCAAAGGAGAGGCTCAGCCGGGTTGTGAGCGCCGGAAGGATTGTGGCCGCGCGATGATTGCTTCTTCTGTAGTGTTTGATCACTTTAACTTCCCCCGAACACCTGATGAGGTGCGGTTGGGTAAACGCCTACAAATATGGTTATAATGTCATTAAAAGAAAAAGGATGAAATAGGTATAATTTTCACTTGTTCGTCAGAAAAAAAGGAGAAATATTGTCGTATCATTTAGCTTTTAAAAAAAAATTATCTTGAAGTATTTGTAGAAACTAGATTTCTCTCTCTTTTCATTTTTTATTTTCCCCCAGGCCTGTGACCAAATTTCTGTGTAGCGGTTTCAAGTGAAGAGCGAAAATAAACCATCCATGTATATCTCTATCTTCAAAATGATGGATAGGAAATCAATGCTACCATTTGAATTGGCCTTTTTTGCTCTTATTATGAATGTAGAAATATACTTTGAATATCATTCTATCTTTAAATGTGTAAAATACTAGAAGAGATGTATATTCAACTATTATGTGCAATTTTGTTCATAAAGTGATGGAGTTATTATTATTCCCCAACTTTTGTAGCTTTAATGGTTAGGTCATCCCCCCCCCCCAAAAAAAAACTATGCACTCTCGCTTTTATTTCAACAAAATAGACGAGATATACCATTAGTAATGAAATAATACTGTATACAAGTACTTAGCTTTCTCTCTGATTTTTTTCTATTTTCTTTGATGCGTAGACTATATACCCAGTTATAAGGGCAATCCTCCCACGCTCCTCGATATTCTATCAGGGAGGTGGTGGCTTATTTAAGACCTCAATATTCGTTTCTAACAAGCAAAACCACAACGCACTCCTTTCGTGGGGGTTTCCCTTAACTGTCACAGTATTTTTAGTAGTAGTAGGAGGAGAAAAAGGATCATCCTGTTACACGCCTTCAGACCCTTCCTTCCTTTTCTCTCTCTCACTCACACAGCTACACGTAAATGCGAGCCGGGGAGGCTGCGCCTGGCGTCAACCCCTTTGACCCCGTTGACGTCGCGCGGGCATCGCCGTATTTTCGCCGCAACCATCTCGGCAAGGTCACCTGCACCCTCTGCAATGTCTACTGCAATGACGAGCACGCCTTCATCAAACA